TGTCCTTTCTAATATTCTAACCATCCTGTCTATTCCTCAGCCACACAATGCCAGAGCACTTCCCCCATCAACATTAAATTTAATTTTTTTTATTTAGCAAATAACTAGTTCTCACAGATTGTAGTATTCATAATAAAATTCCAAATTATAGTTTTGTGTTTTGTACATTAACTTGTTTCTGTTGCAATTTCTACTGTATGCTACTACACCTTCCTTTCCCTCCTCCTTTATATCTGAAGATTCTTCACATTCAAGGAACGACAACAACAACCCTTAAAATGAACTTCATTGCATTTGAATCTTTGGTATTAACCAATGCTGTCTAAATTAATATATTTTAAATTATCATCCAGAATATTGTGAGCTTCTTATTTTACCTTGCTATATTTTTTAAAGAAAGAATATAAAGACAAAAAGAAAGATGGAAAAGGAAGGAAGAAGGAAGAAAAAGACAAGACAAAAAAGGAAAGAAAGAAAAGATTGGGACATATAAGAGGAGCTACGGTGAGCATCATGCTGTTCTGAAGGGTAGCTGTGCCTCCCATCCAAAATGTCTTATGAGCTCAATGTACAGATACTGGGGGAAAATGCTTCTTTCTCTGCTGCTTTCAGAAGCTGTTCAATTGTGTTCCCTTCTTTATGAGCTCCTGGTTTTCAAAAAGAAAAGATGCACTTGTCCCTAGTAAGCCTGATCTAGCTTGTCCTGTTTCCAAAGTGAACTTGTGGTGAAGGTGAAGTTTTCAGTCTAGAGGTCAAGCCCACGTGCCACGTCCTACTGTCTGCAGCTTCATGCTATATTACACACAATGAAATCTGGCCTTTTAGACTCCTTTCCCAACCCCCACCCCCATCTTCTGCCAGATTCAGCTCCCAATAGCCTTTCTCCTCCCTTCCCCAATTTGTACACATAATGAGAATGCTTCATAATCTACACTCAAATATTAAATCTGCAGGAGTCATGATCACTATGTCTGGGGTGCTTTCAGAATCAGTCTGGATGCAGGCTGCTCAGCTGCAGCCATGCTAGCATGCTTCTACAGGAGCCTGAACCACGTTAATCTGCTTAATTTCTTTTGTGAATCCTTCCTTGCTTGGAAACAGAGGGCTTGAGCTTCTGCAACAACACTCAGAAACTTGCATCATTCAATTTTGTGAGGAAGGAAAACTATCAGAAATTTACAAGCTAAAAATAAAAAAAAAAAAGTCTAAGTAAATCAAGCCAGTCTGGCGCTCTTTTCCAAATGAATTGTATTGCCCTCCTTGAGAAGAATGAAGGGGTATGGAAAAATGTGGGGTGGGAAATTGGAGTGTGAAACAACTCAACAGGGAATGAAGATGTTGCCCAGTGCTTGCATGATCCAGAAATTGAAACTTCTGCAGTCTTGCTGGAGAAAGGTAGTGGATTCACTACAATTACAGTTCTCTACTTCAAAGCCCAGTTCTTATCAAGGGTGACTTTTAGCTTTCCCCAGCCCTGTGGGTTCGATAGCTATTGTCATATTATTCAAACCATTAGCTCTAGAGGGTATGGGGAAGTCAGACTGAGGACCTGGAGTGAACTTCACGATGAGGAGCATATCAATATATGTCTTTAGCCCAGACGCCAGATAGAGTAAGCTTGGTAGGGGTGACTTGGAGTTTAAGGCAAATTACAGTCTATGAAAAATAAGTTACCAGCTCTTTGCAACAGTAGCTTCGATTGGACTTATTTTTCTCCCATGTCCAGACAGGGTCGTCTATTGAATGAGGCTCTTTTATTTTGCATGGGGCAGGGGATTTGTGACCATGGTCCCCCCTTTTATTCCTCTCTCTATGGAAACCCAGATCATGGGGAGAAATATGCAAGGCTGAATAAAGAGAAGCCACAGAAAGGAGCTCTTGAGAGCAGCATCTGTTACACTTGGGAAGTTAGACTGACAGGAGAGGGCGAAGGAAACCTCTCTAGTAGATTAGTTAGAACAGCAAGATTTGACTACATGTAGATATTTTCTTCAGAAAGCAAAATACCTCGCATTCAAGCAAAGATTTTGTTACAGTTGTCATAGGAAGTGATTTCACTTAATGCAATAGGCACGATCTATGTTCATAAAAACAATTTTTAAATGAGAGAAGAAAGAGGGGAGGGGAGAGGAAAGGAGATGCAAGAGGAGAGGGGAAGGAAGGAAAAGGGAAAGATGATAATAATTCCTGTTCCTAATATATATCTATGTTAAATTAAAAAGTAGAACTTAGGGCTATGAGAAATCTGTTTCTGGGTATAGATGTCCCCCTCCTTGTTATCCTCCCCCTACCTCCAGACTTGGGACTAAAGGTCTGAGCTACTTTTGCTTTATTAGGAAAACCCAGTTACCAAAGCAAGGCCATGACTAAGAGGAAGGTGGAAACCAAAAACTCTTGCAAGTACAAACTAGAAAAGGACCCCCTTTTAACCAAAAATCTTTATCAGATAATTATCTTTAACTCCCTAACAGCCAATCTGAGAGAAGTAATTATTTCACCCAAAAGCAGCTGCTAGGTGGGGGTGGGGAACATACCAAGAACATAACAATAATCATGATCTGAGTTTTGCACATACATTTCTTCAACACATTTCCTCTGACCTTTCAGCTGACCCAACGAATAGTAACAAACGGATCACCAAACAGGCAGTATAATCGAGCACCGAAAACTTCTTTTTGTTTGATTTTAATGAGTTCTTATTTCTTCAGAAGCATAAGCTCAGGCACAAATTGGATTGCATTCTTGTAAAAAGATTATGCATACATTCAGCAGTAAGAAACAGCCTACCTCATTCCTCCACAGAAAAGAGAAGAGAGATAGAAACAGACACACAGAGATGGAGAGAGAGTGCCTGCGCACCAGAGTGTTAGAGGGAGGGAGGGAAGGACAAGAGGGTGGGAGGGAGGGAGGGAAGGAGGAAGGGAGGGAGGAAGGAAGGAAGGGAGGGAGGGAGGGAGGGAGAAAGGGAGAAGCAGAGGGAATGAATCGATTTCTAGGTTAAAAGCAGATAAGCCCTTACAATAGGGCATCAGCAAATGAACCTACAATTTCAATGAGGGAGCAGGGTGAGGCAGGGAGGATGGCGAAAGATCCTCTCTGCCAGTAATTACTAAGTGTTTATCTTTAAGAGCAAAAGAAAGATTTCAAACAGATGCCAGGTTTTCTCACCTAACAAATGAACATTTACATTTACCAATCTCCGCTCCTATTACTTTATGCTGTCATAAAAATAATCACCAATTTCACAGGAAATAGATGCTACTTAGCTATATAAAGGAATGGCAGAGTAAGCTCACCTTGCTCTTAATTTTTTTTCTCATTTTCTTGCATTTTCTTCAGATCTGTCTTCTTAGAGAAACTAATGCCTTAATGACTTTCTGGTAGCTGCAAGCCTTCTTTTATTTCAGCTAAATATATGAAAATGTATGCAAATTTAAATCAAGCTTAACCTAGGAGCTCTTGCAATATATTTAATGGAATTTCAAACCAATAAGGGAACTCTGATGCCGTCTTCTGTAAGAGCAAATATAATTACACAGCTAGGTTGCCTCCAAAATTACAAAACAAAAGGGCATTTTTAAAACTTCAGATTTGGTGTGAGGTAGTGGTTTGCTTTTTCCCAGCTAGTGTAATTCTAAAATCTTTGCATTTCTCCCAACTCTGCTTCCAAGCAACACCTTTGCATGAGGCTGTGGAGCACATGAAGTCAATCGTCTCTAACTCATAAAAGCCTTTCCTCTAACCAAAATTTGAAAAACAGTTGAGTCCCCAAGGCTGAAAGCTAATTCGAGCTTTGTGGCAGTTGTGGAAGAATGGACTAGTTGAAAAAGATGTCTAGCCACCAAGGTATCTCACCGGGTTTCTTCCAGTTTCTCCCCACTCACCACCCACCACTCTCTCCCTGCTCTCCTCTTCTCTCTCTCCTCATTTCTCCTCTCTGAATCCCTAAATTTTCAGAGAACAGTAGAGGAGACATATTTCTCAATATTCTCTTCGCACTGCCAAGGAAGCAGGATGCAAAGGTTTCAAAAAGTTGTCAAGGGGCTGCATTAGGCAGGCTTGCTGGTATGAATACTTTCTCTCCTGCCTACTGGGAATGGGGAGTGGGTTTTCAGCGTGTCCTGGGTGAGCATGAAAGATGACTGCGGGCTTCAGCAAGCAGCTCCTCTGGCATAGTGGAGAGACCTCTGATGGGAACTGGCAGGGGAGCCAAGATAAAGCCAGGTTTCCAATTAACCAGCAAACTTCAAACTGACTGAGTCTTCCAAAGATCACTTTAAGATTTGCATTCTGAAACCCTTCAGCTCTTCATATTCTGAACCAAAATTTTAAGAAAAAAAAAAGGGGGGGATCTTTTTCCTAGAGCTTTTTAGTTTCTTATAACTGAAAAATAAGTGAGCAATATATAGCAGAATAGCTTTTATTGGATCGTGGAAATTTTATTTTGGATTCTGACCTAAGACATCGCTTTGCTCAAAGTTTGCAGATGCTTTTTATTTTTCCCTGGCCACACATTTACCCAAACACTAACTAAACCGGAATTCTTTCATACATGAAGATCAAAATGATATTTTAATTTGTTTTCTTTATTTATTTTAATTTAAATAAACTAAAAGGAGACCTGAAACTCAAGTTAGCCTCCTTTCTGCCTCTCCATACAAATATGTACCTTCTATTTATTCTCTGCCACAAACAGCCATGTAGTCTCTGGGAGGGGGGAAAGGGTTAACTAAAAGAGCCGCTGCCACTCTAAGCTAGGCAGCCAATGGAGCCTAAAGATTGATTCACTTCCTGCTTGGGTCTCACTGAAACTCCCGAGCTTCGCCAGCCTAATTTGGAAAGCGAGCTCGGCCTCCCGCACCACCATTGGCTGTGGTTATGCCTGGCCAGGCCAAGTCGCACTGCGATTGGCCTTGGCGGGTGCCGGTAACCTGCGCTAGCGGCTTTGGTTCCCCGCACCATAGATGTCAAAGGCTGAAGCTGCTCCCTTTGCCACATTATAACTAGTAGAGGATCCTCATCCACCATGGCCACAGCTGCCTCGAATCCCTACAGCATTCTCAGTTCCAGCTCCCTCGTCCATGCGGACTCCGCGGGCATGCAGCAGGGAAGTCCTTTCCGTAATCCTCAGAAACTTCTCCAAAGTGACTACTTGCAGGGAGTTCCCAGCAATGGGCATCCCCTCGGGCATCACTGGGTGACCAGTCTGAGCGACGGGGGCCCGTGGTCTTCCACATTGGCCACCAGCCCCCTGGACCAGCAGGACGTGAAGCCGGGACGCGAAGATCTGCAACTGGGCGCAATCATCCATCACCGCTCGCCGCATGTAGCCCACCACTCGCCCCACACTAACCATCCGAACGCCTGGGGAGCGAGCCCGGCTCCAAACTCGTCCATCACGTCCAGCGGCCAACCCCTCAATGTGTACTCGCAGCCAGGCTTCACGGTGAGCGGCATGCTGGAGCACGGGGGACTCACTCCACCACCAGCTGCTGCCTCCACACAGAGCCTGCATCCAGTGCTCCGGGAGCCTCCAGACCACGGTGAGCTGGGCTCGCACCACTGCCAGGACCACTCCGATGAAGAGACTCCCACCTCTGATGAGTTGGAACAGTTCGCCAAACAATTCAAACAAAGAAGAATCAAGTTGGGTTTCACGCAAGCCGACGTGGGGCTGGCATTGGGCACACTGTATGGTAACGTGTTCTCGCAGACTACCATCTGCAGGTTCGAGGCCTTGCAACTGAGCTTCAAGAACATGTGCAAGCTGAAACCGCTGCTAAATAAGTGGCTGGAGGAGGCTGATTCATCCACAGGAAGCCCGACCAGCATTGACAAGATCGCCGCTCAGGGCCGCAAACGGAAGAAGCGAACCTCCATCGAGGTGAGTGTCAAGGGCGTACTGGAAACGCATTTCCTCAAGTGTCCCAAGCCTGCAGCGCAGGAGATCTCCTCGCTGGCAGACAGTCTCCAGTTGGAGAAAGAAGTGGTGCGTGTCTGGTTCTGTAATAGAAGACAAAAAGAAAAAAGGATGACTCCGCCAGGGGATCAGCAGCCACACGAGGTTTATTCGCACACGGTGAAAACAGACGCATCCTGCCATGATCTCTGACTGGAGGAAGCAAGGAGGTGGCCCGCTGCACTGGGAGCAGTGCTGATACAATTCTCTCTTTACCTTCCTTTCAGTATTACATTCTTTATTATTGCTATCTCTCTAGCTTGCTAGCTCTTCCTTTCTTTCACTGGGGTTTCTAACTTCTTATGACTTATGTTAAGAAAAAAACCATACACACACGCGCGCGCACACACACATATACACACACACAGGAGCGCGAACGCGCCCACACACACACGCACACACACACGCACACACACACGCACACACACACACACGCACACACACGCACAAACATTCGGGCTTCTTAACTCTGAAATACAATTATATTGAGCAGTCCAGGTGGGGACCCCATATTCCCTGCTACCAGGACAATTTCCCTCCAACCTTTTCTGCTGATCAATCTGTATTGTTTACTCTGAGTAAGATTTGTTTGGTTGCTCCTCTCTAAGAAGGGCAAGGAGCTGGGTAACGGGGTGGGGGCGGGACAGGGTGGGAAGACAGATGTGTGCCTATGAATAACCTTTCAGCGCCTTGGTTATAGCAGCTGTATTTCAGGTGAAATCTGTTTTACAATAGACTAGTTTTGCATTTTTTAAAACTTCTATAGCGTTTCTAAATGTCTGCGGTGTTTTACTACAAGCTGTACACAATATTTGTGAGATAATTTGTATCTAATCGACCACTCCACATTATTATTGCTATTATTATTATTTCTTCATTGAGCTGATGGGTTTTTAATTGCTTAAAAAAAGGGAGGGGAGGCTAGAAGGAGGAGAGAGAAAAATGCTCACCTCCTGCACTCCCACACTTTCGAATCTGCTTGGAGAGGAGAGGATACTAAGGTGGAGAAAGTTGTTGATGTTTCTATTTTCCCCCGGGAACTGAGTGCCTATATGGGCAGAACAAGCAAACTGAATGGGTTTGCAAAGTAGCCTGAAGGCTATTTCGCTGCTTTTTTGCCCCCTCCCCCGACATTCACGGAACTGTGGAGTCCTGGAAGGTTTCCACAGCACAGATCCCGGTGCCCCAGAAGAATTCCGCTGTGGCGCGAAGAATGGGGTGTGAGCGACCAGAAGGATTCTGAATTCACCAAGGTCGTGAACGCCTGTGCGTGAAGTTTCCCACAGGCCGCCAGCTTAGGGTTGACAACCTGCGCTACCCTACTTACACTCTCCTAGATGAAAGACTTCGCCTTCACAAATGGTGGCTTTCAAAGGAGACCACAACCCAAAGACGCTGGCGACCAATTGGGCCAGCGCCTCCCAATTCAGTTCACCTCCAGTTTGCTGCTCGCTCTCAGGGTGAGAAACGCTCTCGGTAGGGTGGTGAGGGGGTAGGCAGCCTCTGCTTAGTGCGGAGAGACAATAAAATAATTGGGAAAAGTCACAAAGATTCTGGTACAGCCGCACACCACCTTCCTCCCTCTTGTACATACCAAGGTCTGAGTGAGCTCTTGGGGAGCCGGTCTCAGTGTCTTTGACAAGCACAGCTGGTGGAAGCCCATGGCGCAGATCGAGTGAGCTAGCGAGCGCCTGGGCGGCTAAGTTTATGCTTTTTTTCCCTTTTAAAAATCTGTGCGTATGTATTTCTGTGCGTGTGTGGCGTGCGCGTGCAAACGTATGTGTGTAGATAGCTGTGTGTATCGTATTACTGTATAAAAAAAGTAAAATAAAATAAAAACTAAAAAAAAATCTCCTTAGACTATTTAGAGATCCCAAAATGAAGCGGTTGCCGTGGCTTTATGGCTAGCTTTCTCTCATGTCCACAGGACAGGTTCACAGGTGCACCTCATCCCCAGCAAGCACTGTGTGCTGGCCCAGTGAAGCGTCCATGCCCAGCCAGCCACAGCGGGCCTGACCTGAAGGGGATCTCGCCAGGCTGATCTCAGGATTCAGCTTGATTCAGCTTGCCGGTGCAGCTGTGGTAGACAAAGCTTCAAACTACCTAAGGACCAGAAAACCTTGTGCCCCTTGTGTAAGATGCGCTAGTATGGGCTGCCAGGTTGACCACACTGTGTCTCCCCTAGCCGCAGGTCGAAGAGCATATATTAATTCAAATTCCAGACCCTTTCCTTTGCTATTTTTTCTTGGTCAAGCCTCTACATTCTATTAGTTTTAGGCTTTAGTTCTGTGATTTTATTTTCCTTGTTCAATTCATGTTTCACAAATGTTCGAAGGGGGGTGCGTTATTTGTTTTTGTTTTTTCTTTGCAGTTAAACGCTATGGTTCAAACCTGAGTTAACCCAAATATTTCTGCCGACTTTATAATTGTACAGTTTTGTATATTAAACGTTTTTTGAAGTTATTAATTTAAAAAGATCATTTAGTTTATTCATTTAGTAACTGATGTATAATAAACGCTATTTTCATTAAGAGTTGCTTTTTCAACTATTTTATTCAAATTGCCTATTGCAGTTCCCAACGATTATTTATTTTCAATAAATTCTGCATTGTGTTTAAATGGAAATTGTTTCAAAGATGAGTTGGGTGTCAAAAAGAAAACAATTCGCTGTAATGTTTGATGTGAGCAGTTTTAGTCAAGGGGTTTATATTGACGCAATATTTTATTGTTGTAAAAGATTTAAAAGGTTTAAATAAAACATTTTTCAAAAAAAAAAAAGAAAGAAAGAAACCATGTGTTCTTTTCCTGGCCTTCATGTGCTGTGTGTGAAGTGGAGCACTTAAAGAAGCACATCCTGGGTAAGCAAGCCTTTGCTTCGGGTTAGAAGCCCTTAGTTTTTGTTTTGATTCTGGTTTCTGTTCCTCTGATGTTTGCCCTTTGGTTCAGAAATATACTCTCATACATAATATCTATTTGTGCATTCGCATCCATGTGCTGGAGCAAAATGTACTCCTCAATGGTGGGAAGACTTGCTGGGAAGATTACAGGGAAGCCAGGTCCAAGACTATTTCCTTAGTGCTCTCTGAGAGCATAATGTCTTTGTCATCCAGTGTTTTCTAGTCAGTTTCCCATCCTGAAATTATACCCAAACCTTCCCTGGACTTGTACATTTCTTACATGCTTTTATTCCTCTTCTTTCTCCTGACTTGTCCTTCTAGTAAGGGATCTGGATATGTTTTAATGTATGGGTTTAGTGTTCATCTTAAGGTGCTCCCTGGGCCCAGGAACCTCAAGCAAACTGCTTGTTTCAATCCCTAGCTATCTGGTTTGTAAGAAGAAAACAAACAAACAAAAAATAATAAGGATCATGAGACAACTGGGAGAATTTTGATTTATTATACTCATCTTTCCATTCCCACATATAATTTTACATGTATTGTTGATTTCATAAATCCTTCCATAAAATAAGGGACTGCTACCTGTATGGCAGTTAAAGAGTAATGTGCCAACTATGAGACAATTCCATTTTAAGGACAAGCATGCTTTGTTCAAACTTTTTGTTTGTTTGTTTGGTACATTTGAAGAAATAAACAAAATGCAATTTCTGCCAATAAATACCTACCCATTCAACTCATACTCCTACATAGTTATTTCTCTTAGACAAGTCATAATTGTTTAATCATTTTAATAGATAATGATTATGAAATGTCTTGGCTTTTTCTGATTGCATGATTATCTTTAGTCATATAGTAAAACACACACATGTGATTGTTTTCTATGAATATATCCCCTTTATACAAAATACTGATTGTTTAAAAATCACTTTTCTTTATGTGCATGTGTGTGTGTGTGTGTGTGTGTTTGTCCATGTGTTTGCCACATGTGTGTGAATGCTCATAAAGGCCAGAAGATGGTGTTTGATCCCCTGGAGTTGAAGGTAATTGTGAGTCACCAAACCTGGGTTCAAGGAGGCAAATTGGAGTTCTCTAGAAGAGGTGAAAGCTCTTTTAACTACTGAGATATCTCTTCAGCCCCATAATATTGATTTTATAGAGTTATATCTACAAGAACAAAACCTATACTAATAAACTTATTAATTCTATTTTGATTCACAGAAACTATTTCTTATTCAATATTTTATTAAAAAATTTGTAGAATATAAAGTTCATTTTCCTACTAAAGAACTACACATTAACAAACTTTCAGTGTATATTGAACTCCTATATTATGTAATACACAGATATGTTAGGAGGTAGTTATATGAATACATAGACATATAAATCACCAGTGTTTTATTAATATATTAATATGCATTATACATATATATATATATATTTCAAGCTGGATTCCTTCATTGAATTTTGTCCTTCTAAACAATAACCATAGCAGTGGTCTTTTATGATGATCTTTTTATTAATCTCTGCATAATGAGCATAATATTATCATTAAAAATCCAGTGCAGTTGGTGCTTTTGCATAAGATTTTCCCTGTCTTAAGGTTTTTGCTTTTCCAGATCCCCACCAATGCCTTTGCAAAAAGAACTTTTGTCTTGGATTTTTCAAGCCTTCACAATTATAGCTCTTTCTTAGGAAGAACTAAAGGATATGAAAGAACAATAACAGTTAATTATATCTAACATTACAAAGGCAAAAAGTTTCATCTCCAATAGCATGTCAGAATAATAAAATATTGAGAAATTGTAAGGGGGCTAAGGTGAGACTAGGCTGTGCAGGTGTTACACATGTGCAAATAAAGATAAATAAGTAACTTCAGCATACATACATACATACAGAGACTGTCTATATACTTCTGCAGAAATTACAAAGGGGAGAAACCACTAAATTTTATAAATTATTTCTCTATCAACTAAAAACAGGAAAACTACTATCCATGGAAATTAGTTGTTTATCTCTAAAAAGAACCAGATTGAGACAGTTATTGCCTAAATTAGTACATGAGCAGTATTTGTCTTTAATAAAATCAAGCGCTGTTCCTTGAAAATATTAAACAGTCAAGAGTTTTCCTTGCTTTTTTTCTAGTCTGCCATTGTTGCTTTAATTGTTTGTAGTGCTACAAGTTGAACATATGTTTCTGTTCTTAAAATATTTTTTGCATGAAGAAGAGATGAGACCAAGGAGGAGAACAAGAATGTAAAAAATAACTAGAGGTTGAAAATAGTTTGCAAAAGAGAAAAGTGTATTTCTCCCACTTCTCAGATCTTTTTAAAGACACATATGGAACCTCGAAGTTGTGGAAATTGTTCCATGACTTGGTGGTTAAAATCCAAACATGTGTGACTTTCAAAAACCCAAAAGTCCCTAAAGAAGAAAAAGCAACACTGTAGAAATCA